AATGCCTTTTTCGCTTCTTCCATTGCAGAGAGCATGACCATTCCATCGAGACCGGCGCCGGCTCCGCCCGGGTCACGTGGCCAGTGCGCCGCGGCTGGGGCGAACGCCAGCCTGGAGCAACTGCGTCTCCAGCTCCAGCAGCAGCACATGCAGCAGCAGGCGGTCGGCGGAGGACTCCAGAAGCTGACCATAAAGCTGCCGCCACCGCCCAAGGGTCCGCTGCAGTCGCAGAACTCACAGCACAAGCGGACCGCCATTAATAATAACAACGGTGGTAGCCTTTTCGATGAGCCCATGGGAGGATCGAGCATCACGAGGAAGTTTCCGCAGGCACGCTACACGCCGGCCACCAACTGGGAGGACGATCCATTCGGTGCGAACGGGAACGATCGCTTCAAGAAGGTGCCACCGCCGCGACCGCCGCCACCAAAGGTGCTGGTTAATGGGCAGAACATGGCCAAATCTTCCACCTCGACGACATCGGCAGTCGCCGGCGGTGGCAGTCTCATCTCGAACATCTTCCACCGCAAGAAGTCCACGTCCACGGCATCCGCTGCTGCTACCAAGGCCGCAGCGCAAAGTCGCGTCTACGGCCTGAGCAGCGGTGCTGCCGGGACACCAAGCAGCAGCAACAGCAGTTCCTCCGCGGCGGCCTTCAGCAATGTGGATTGGAATGCGGCCTGGAACACGGCCACAACCACTACAGCCACTACCACCTCGAGCAGTAGCCATAGCTCGCATTACGCCTCCCAGCAGACGGCCGATTCCCAGCTCATCAGCTTCGATTCACCGCCCTCGTCGCCCACCTTTACCCAAAAGTCCAACAGCGACTGCGTCAGCGTGGACAGCTTCAGCTCGGACAGCAACTTCAGTTCACCCAACAATGGCAGCGTTTCGCAGCCGGAGAGCGGGTTCGAGGACGACTACCATCGATCGCGGCCATCCACACAGAGTCCACTGGATCCCTGGGAGGCGTTGGATAGCGTTGGACATGGCGGCGTCGACTGCTTTGGCTCCGCCCCGGTGCGTCAGACGTACCAGCTGCAGGCCCGCACCTCGGACAATCCGTTGTGCAACGGCAAGAGCCTTTTGCCGCCCACCCAATCGCTGACCATGCCCACGATTATCAAGCCGAAGATATCGCAAAAGCCGAAGGCTCCCAAGCCGCCACCATTTATCGGAGGCATACCGCCAGGGTTCAGCATACCAGCTGGATACGGACGAACCCAGACTCCACCGTCGCCTCCGATGCCCAAGGGACCACCGCCACCGCTGCCATCTGGTGGAGTCTCCCTGCTGGATGTGATCAGCGGGAAAGTGGACGCGCTGGCGTTGAGCAACGGCAGCCACGGGTACATCGAGGAGGAGGTCATTCCCTACGCCATTGCGCTGTTTGATTTCGATGGCGTTGAGGAGGGGGATCTCAGCTTTAGAGTAAGTATTTATCAGCACCTAAACTTTGAGTTGATATATTAAAAAGGTTGATTTCTGCAGGAGAACGAGAAAATATATCTGCTGGACCACCCCACGCCGGAGTGGATGCGCGGACGCACGCGTTCGGGATGTGAGGGCATCTTTCCTGCTAACTATGTAGACATCAAGGTGCCATTGGGGGCTACTGGTGGAGGTGCTGCTGCTGCTCCATATGCTAGTGCTGCAGCAGCCTTGCCCAGTCCGTCGCAACCGCAGTTGCCCACTGCGCTCTGTTTGTATCACTTTCCCGGCGGAGTCGAAGGAGATCTGGTCTTGCAGGTAATTACCCCCCGAGACCCCACTCGTACGCAATAGTAATATCATTTTATCTTTCCGTAGGAGAACGAATTGGTCACAGTGCTTTATAGGATAAACGAGGATTGGCTGTACGGCGAGGTGGCGGGTCGTCAGGGGCAGTTTCCGGCTAATTTCCTGGACCAAGTGCCTGCCAATCTGCCCACGTTGTAACCGTACAGAGTCCGCGATCTATATATTGTATACCCGAGAACATTTGTCGATAAGCGAGAAGACGTTAAGCGAACTGAATCATATACACACACATATATAATTGTATTTTTTACTATATTCTGTGTGAAAAATATTAAGAAACGAGCATATAGTCTAAGACAACTAATTGGTAAGAAACTCGAAAATTGTTTTAATGGCAGCGATGATGCCTTCTCCTTTCCCAGCTTATACACGGGATCGATTTTTATGTTTAACCCGCGAATGCAACTGTTTCGTTACTGGATAATTCGATATTTATGTATTAGACTCTTTTTGCTGATCCTTAAAGTATTCGCCCAAGTCCCATGCACCCGAACCAATAGAACAGGCAAAAATATTGTAAATAAGTTAAAATGTACGTGATTTCTATTAATGTTTAATTATTTAAGTCGAGTTTAGTTAGACGCTTAGTTAGGCACATTTACGGATTCCAATTTATAATGCAAGCCCTTTTGTTTCCATGTATTAATATTTCTTTAAAGTGTTTAGGAGAGTTCGGTGTGAATTGAATGATTTTTGATTTGTCCACTGGAGAGTGCTATCCTCACAATTTGTAGGACTTATCATTTATAAAATATCAGGATATCCTAGCAGTGAAGAATGTAATCTGAAATAAACGAATATGATCACAAAATGCCAGCTAATATTAATTTTCCAGGTTACCTGGGCGTTACACTTCCGTTTGAGTATTCAATCGTTCAATCGAAAATCTCTGCCTATGTAGAACACATCGGGAAGTGTCTGAGCAAAATTATTCTTTATTTGTTTTGGAAGTGTTACGTCCACACAACTGGTTCTCCGCTCCGCGCAAACAAAATTACTTCCTTTGACATTTGTCCTGTTTTCGTTGTTTTCACAACCGTTTCGGTTCATTTGTCTGTGAGTTTCTGAAAGTCGTCGTCCAATCCGTAAAAATGTCCGGCGATTGCAACACGTATTGCCCCACTGCCTGTGATCCGTGCCAGGCCCCCACGGACTTCTCACCCTGTCCGCCGAACTCGACGTGTCCGCCGTGCGATTGCGGCGACTATGCCGGATGTTGCTACCAGCAGCCGGCTCGCACCATGCCCATCCTGCCCAAGTCGCACTTCATGCGCTCCACGGCCCCGCTGGACACGGACACCATCTATCGGCGTTCGTTTTACGCCAACTGTGGCGACAACATCAGGGCCCGGCCCGTGATGCCGTGCTCCCAGATCCGGGCCTCCACGGCGCCGCTGGAGAAGTGCACCATCCAGAAGCTGTCCTACATGCCGCCGTGTCCGGTGAAGCGGACGCCACCCATCGTCCCCATGGAGAGCGGTCTGCGCTTCGAGGGACCCATCTACGCGATGACCTCGCAGAAGCACGACTACGTGCCCAAGGGGATCGTGAAGCGGGACCCGATTGTGCCGCGGGTGGCCATCTGCACGTCGAACGCGCCCATGGAGCGCTGCACCATCCAGAAGCTGAGCTACATGCCCATCGATGTCTGCCAGAATCCGCCGCCGAAGGCCATGATCCAGGGCTCGCACTACTGCAAGCCGGCGGGACCCATGGAGCGCTGCACCATCCAGAAGCTGTCCTACATGCCGGTCTGCCTGCCGGCCAAGGAGCCCACTCCTTGGGCCGACAAGATCCGCTGTGCGCCGCCGCGCTACTCGAATGTCTGCACCACCTACAACCTGAGCTACATGCCCAACTGTAACGAGGCGCGCACCGCTCCGGTGACGCCGCTGACCACGCTGCGCTTCTGCGGCAACGACTCCGGCTCCGGGAGCACGGTCTACAAGCTCAGCTACATGCCAGTCGATGCCTCCCGGACCAAGCCGGCGCCCGTTTTGCCTAGAGACACCTTCTGCCGGCCCAGTGGACCGCTCGAGAAGTGTACCATTCAAAAGGTAATGTCTAGTTATTACGAAAAACACCCTCTGCGAGAATATCTGCCTAGATTTCTAGGGAAATTCCGAATTCTTAGTGTTCTGCTTATTAATTTCATAAATGGGGTTTCATACATATGTATATGTATTTACTGAGAAAACGTATGGCACTTTTCCGATTAAATCTTACTTTTGGGTATAGTTTATTTTATAATTAAGTCATGTAAAATAGGTATTTTAGTTTTGCTTACCTTATCCATACCTCCGCCTTCAGCTATCCTATCAGCCGAACTGCACAGAGCGTACTCCTCCCATTCGGCCAATGGAGAATGGACTGCGATTCGATGGGCCCATGTACGCGATGACCACTCAGAAGCACGACTTTGTGGCCAAACCGCACGTGAGGCGGGCCCCGATCATGCCGAGGACCGCTTTCTGCCGACCCAGCGGAGCCATGGAGCGCTGCACGGTGAACAAGCTGTCGTACATGCCGGTGGACGTCACCTGCTTCCCACGGGCCGAGTCCGTCCGTCCGCGACAGGGCTTCTGCCGGAACGAGGGACCCATGGAGAAGTGCACCACGTACAAGCTCAGCTATTTGCCGAACTGTGTGCCGCCCAAGGAGCCGCTGCCCTGGGCCAGATACTCATCCTACTGCCGGCCAACCGGACCCATCGAGAAGTGTACCATCCAGAAGCTTAGCTACGGCCCACCGGGTGCCTTCCAACGTTGTGGCGGTATGTTTTAACCTAATTTAGGTATTTAAGCAATTGAAAAATGATCACTGAACTTCTACAGGTCCTTGTGGAACTGGTGGCGGGGATGGCACCTTCCCGAAGGCCGGCATTTGTTAAGCTGGAAATACATGTCGATTGATCTTTAAGTGCGCTTCTCCCAAGCTCATCCCGCTTTCCTTGTTTAATGTTATACCAAAATCTTCCAGTCCAAGTCCTATTTTATTCTTACTTTGTTTTAAAGGCCCACTGGGGAATGCACTTTCGGAACTGTCTCTATTAACGCAGTACCACCATCCGTTTTATTTGCTCCGTACTCCACTTATCCTTTGCCAGTCTTATTTGTATATACAGAAAATTGCAAGTGCTGTGCTTACGAAATATTATTGTAATTCCTCATTGTAAAATTAAAGTATGTTTCCAGAAATATAGTAAATCATAAAATAACTAGGATTGTTTAATTGGATTTGTACAAATATAGGTAATCTTCGTCTCAAACCATTTGGATCTGCAGCCTCCGTTTGCTGGCCTCTCTCCGCTTCTTCTCCCGTTTCTTGCGGGTCTGTGTGGCCTCCCGGAAGAGCTGGACACCGTCGCGCTGCTCCACTTCGGTTTGCAGCAGGGCCAAGCCATGCAGGTTCCAGCCCAAGACATCTCTCAGCTGGCCGACGTCCCGTTTGAGCATCGAGAGCAGTTTAACCAGCAGAGGCTTCATGCTCTTGGCCGCCGAGATGGGCTTCATGTGCACCTTGAACAGGAAGATGGTGACGCGGCAGAGCAACTCCAGTTGATCGGGCCGCTGGGTCAGTAGAGTGGGCAGGCGCTCAAGAACTTCGCACACAGTGGAGAAGGGCAGCAGGAGCAGGGCCTCCTCCAGATCAGAGGCACGTATCCGCATAAGGGTGCTGACCAAAAAGTCTACGGGATTCTTCACCTGCAGTGCCTGCATTAGAGGATGTAATTCCGGCTTCTCTTCCGCTTCCAACTCGAACTGTTTCGATATCTCCAGGCACTCAAGGATGGACTCAGCAGACTGCTCGGAGCCAACCGTTTTTCGGGAGGGCATCTTGAGTCCAGGCAGAAGGGGCACTGTGTTATCCTCCCCCGTGGCCAGCTGTTCGTTCTCCATTTGCTCACGCTCCTCTTCCTGCACATCCTTCAGCACAATAGTCTCGTCCGTGCGCTCGTACATCCTAAGAGTTCGATCCGAGCCGCAGGTGACCAGGTACCGACCGTTTGGAGACACGGACAGACAATACGCCTCGCCTATGTGTCCGGGCAGGGTAAGGATCTTCTCGAAGTTGTCGCCATCCCACTGCTTGACCTTGCCATCCTTGCCGCAAGTAAAGAACATGTGCGTCCTGGGTATGAACTGTACACTCATCACCGAATCATCATGGGCGAAGATCGACCGATGGCAGTCTCCGAAGTTCAAGCCCCACACTTTTACGTTACGATCTGCCGATCCGGTCACAATAAGGTTCGAGTCGTAGGAGATGTCCAGGCAGAGCACGGGTAACTTGTGGCCATACAGAGAGAGGTAGAACTTGAATGTGTCCAGGAAAAAGACTTTGACGGTGGCGTCCAATAAACCCACAGCCAGGTACTTCATGTCCGGACTTACGCCCACGCAGAGCACGGTCTCCTCCAGCTTCAGCGTGTTCTTGTGGAGCAGCGATAGAACTTTGGTCTGAGCAGCGCCTTCGCCGGCATCGATCAGTTCGAATGTCCAGATCTTAAGCGTAGAATCGCCGCTGCCAGTGATGCAGCCCTTCTGATCGGGCAGCATTGCAATGGACCACAGTTCGCTTTCGTGGGCCGGGATCTCCTCCACAATATCAGCCGCAGCAACATCCACAATCAGAAGTTTGCCGCTCTTCATGCCCAAGAGGACGTAGTGATCGCCGGGAACAAACTTCGAGCAGAGAATGTAATCCGTTGGCACAGTTCGCAGGCACTGCATGGCATCCCGATCCCAGAACTTGAAGGACTCCCCTGCACCAGATCCCACGGCCAGGGAGTCGTTGCTAAAGCACACGGATCGCACTTCCGACTGGTGGCCCAGCCGCGTGAGTGACCTCAGCAGCTTTACACTGGGATCGGCTGCCTTGCGCGTCTTGATAGACGCTTCCAGGGAGTACAGCGCCATGCTGTTGTTGGCCAGACTGACCAGGACGCGCAGCTCCTGGTTCTGGCCCAAGACCACATCGATGGACTTGATCTTTTGCTTGACTCGGATGCTCTCCAGTCGCTTGATTTCATCGCTCAACGACTGTTCCGTTGTCAACTTGGCCTCGTCCGAACCATCCTCTCCGGCGGTTTTTTTCTCCTTCTTGAGGCGCTTGGCCAGACTTTTCTTCACCTCCTCCGGCGTGCAGATGTAAAAGTTCTCGATTAAATCGTTGGTGCCGTGGCAGCTGAGCACCCGTTCACTGGGATCGGTCACCAGGTTGACGGTGCGACCCTTTCCAGCCCGCTGAATGGTGCCGCAGTTGCTCACGCTAACCGGACTTATGGTGTCTTCGTCTTCAATGGTCAGGCCCTCGACGGCCGACTCCAGGGTGCCGGTGACGGCTCCGTCGTGCTTCCTCAGGCGGTACACATTCATGCCGCTCTCGCCGGCTCCAGCTATCATCAGATCCCCAATGAAGGCCAGTGCCCAGACCTCGGTGCGGTTGTCCACGATGGTTTTAAAGCAGAACTGCGTCTCCAGGTTCCAGAACTTGATCTGGGTGTCCTTCGAGCAGCTGACCACGATGCTTTCGTCCACCAGGCGCTGCAGGAAGTGGGCGTCCGTGATGGCGGCATTGTGCCCACTCAAACGGGCCCTGCCCGCCTGCTCCACCACGTCAACGACCACCAGTTCGGTGTCCAATCCTCCGCTGACCAGGCGCATGCCCTGCATATCGTATCGGAGGATGCTGACGGCGTTCTTGTGCAGCGCCAGCGAACAGATAGGATCGTAGTACCTGTCTGAGCTAAGATCAAAGATCTGGACCATGCCATCCGCATAGCCCACGGCTATGTGCAGGTGATCTGGGGAAACCCTTAGGCAGGTGACCTCGAACTTCTCGCGGCGAAGCGTCAGCTTGCGATCTCCCATTCTGAGGGTTAATAAATATTAGTTTAAGTAATATAAAGGAAATTTAAAAACTGCAAAACCCACCTCAAATCCCAAATGATCACATTCTCTGCTGCCGGAGCGGCCACATATCGGCCCTCCGTCTTGTCCACAATGGCAAAGTTCACATTGGCGCGCCCGGAGGTGATTATATTAAAGCTGTCTATAGCCCGATATGCCAAATATTGCTTGGTTAAACCCATTACAGCATTAAAAACACACAACTAAATCAAAATCAACAGCAAGCGCGTTTCACGTGTTTAGAGATGGAACAAAATCGATATTGTTTCGATATGCTTCCGTAAATAAGTCAACATCGACAGTATCGAAGTAGTTGGCAACGCGACTGTCTACCAATTAGTCGGGCAACGCCAAATAAATTCCGTTAAGCGCCTGCGCTTTTGAAATTCGGAACCTTAACAAACCCACCCCAAACCCATTGAGATAGCTCTGATATTAGCCTGCTAAAGCTGCAGTTTTTGCACAAATAGTTGATAAAGAAAAGATTCAAAATGTCTGCTTATCCCAGTGCTTCCGCCTCCCAATCGACAGGTACAACACATGGAGTTAAACTCATTAACTGTCATTCAAACAATCAATGATTAAAATAACTTAGGAACTACGGATCTGGACACAGAATCCGTGGAAGTTCTGCGGGAGCGTCTGAGCACCATGAAGCGTCTGATGGCCGAGCGGACGTCCCAGCAGCAGAACAACCCGGCGACCACTGAGGAGATATTCTCCACCAAGCGCCACCGATCGGCGGGCATTATCGACGGCAACTTCCTGAGCATCGCCTTTGGTGGAGCTCTGCTGGTGATAATCACGGTTTCAGTGTACGCATTCTACAATCTCTACCATGCCATACTCAAGAAGTTCCCATCGCGTCACGAGGAGCTGTAAACGGGTGCCAAATTGGTCGGCTTTTTGGTTTTCCATATGAAATGTACGAGTCTCTGCATTTAATAATAAATTGTAGCTTGAATTTTAACTAGCAAAAGGGAAGAAGTGAAAACACCTTAAGGCAACTGCTGTTTTGCATTCTGGTTAATTAACGCCATTTATTGGAGTTCAACTCAATACAAAAGTTAACATTTTCTTTACTTTTTATACATCCATCATTTTGGTTCGAATTAGATAATAACTAAATAGAGAGAACTGAATGCATGGACAGCAAAACAAAAAGAGGGCGTTTGGAATATGATACCGCTATGAAAAATCATCAAAATATAACACAGGTATATAATTAAAACAAGACATGAGACGAAATGCTGAGAAGGAACACTTGAGGGATGGAGCGCAGATTTCTCTGGAAAAAACTCTTGGGATTTGATTTGCTTACTCGCTAGCTACAATCGAAACTTTTTTACTCTGCCTTCGCTGCATATTGTTCAATTTTTCATTATTTCCTTTTGCCTTAAACATTAGTGCTAAACTCCTATTTTATATATATGAGCTGTAGATTTAATTAATATTTTGTATTTTTTGTTTGTTAATTCTTTCATTTAGTTGGATAAATTTGTTGGGTAAATAATAACTAATATCGACTTCATTTTCTTTGTTTGTTTTTTTTTAATTCAAATAATATTAGTTTATGTTTCGCATAGTTGCATAACTTGAACAGTGTATAACAGTTCCACTATTTCTTTTGTATAATCTTCTGTTTAAGGCGGCCATAAATCAAACAATTTGAATTTGTAAACTTACTTGAGTTGCCAAGTTAAGAAATTTAAGGGGATATTAAACATTAAAGTGGCTAAAAATCAACTGATACGTTTTGGTTACTGTGGTCTTATGTGTCTTCGCTATTTTGCTGTCGCTGCGCCGCTTGCGGATGCTGGTTACATTGGTTGGATTGGATTGGATGGTGGCTTGGACCTCGAACAGGACTTGCTCGGGGCTATTTGCTTTCTGCTTTTTACAATTGGTTAAATTCCCTACTATTCTCGAACTGACTCTGCTGCTGGTGCTGCCGAGGCGGACGTTCCCGCCGCTCCCGCCATCGTCGTCCCTCCCGGCGCCACTTTGTTTCTTGTTAATCAGATGTTGTCCACGGAGTCGGCATCGTCCTCCGAGCTGATCTCATCGCCGAACTCGATGTCCTCGTCGAAGCCATCCTCCACGAATGTGACCGTCTCGTTGATGCGCACCGACTCGGGGAACTCGCCGTACGTCTTCAGGTTCCTGGCCTCGTCCGGAGTGTACTTTAGGATCACATCGGCTTTTGAGTCCTGGTAGTCACGCAATCCCACCAATATGATGTCGCCCTGGTTAATCCACACCTGAAAGAGCAAACGAAATCCGCAATCAAACATTTGTTATCTGCAGGTTTTGGGAAAGGCCACGAATCCCATTCTTTGCGTTATGAGTAATTCTTTGGGGAAAAAGCAAACTCAATTTTTCAGCTTGTATTCTGTGTAACAGATAAAAGATAACTGATCTATGGCGTACAGCGACTCCGTTCCGAGAATTTCACAAATGAGCGCAACGAATCGCCATGCTAAGTGACCTTGGGAAATGTGTGGCAAACAAGAAAGTTCTATTCTAAAAGAAAGATGGTAACTTCTTTGGCAATTTCGCAAGGAGAGCTCACGTGAGTTGAGGAGTAGCTAGCTTCTCGAGGAGGCTCCCAATCAGTAACCAAAAAAAAAATACATTAGGCATTGATAAACTTAGATTAGAACGGCTAGCTGACCGCAAGACCGTCCGAAACGAGTACGGAGTCACATAGAGAAGATAATTGGCAACATGAATGGTTTGCCAGGCACTGGCTGATTCCACGAAAGACTAAGAACTTGTGATACCGACGAGATTAGACACTTTGAGTTATCTTAAATCACGACCAATCACGAGCTAACCGAATTTTGGTACTGATGGTGATAAGAAATTCTTTCCGCAATATAAATAACAAGCCTCTTGATCGAACATTTTCCTAATCAGATGCGAAACACCAAGGAGGCCTGACAACAGATTGAGATATCTCCAATGTGACGACAAGGGAAAATTGGACAAGTAGGAAGTGTAATATGCAGTTAACTAACTTAGGTGTCGATGAGAAAATCCCCTGCAATAGGATCTTACTCAACTGGCACAGGCAATGTCAATGACCTAGGACAAGTTGCACTTGTCGAGTGATTCAAAGCCCATTCATAAATTCACTTCCTAAAGTTACTTCCTGTCAGTAGCACTACGTCTAGGTGAGTGCAATATAAATTCCTATGTCATGCCTAAATGACATATGTATATATAGAATCCGTTGACCACCTAAAGATCGATAAGCGACGATACCAGGGAGGGGGCTTTAAAAATAATTAAACGGAATCGAAGCCACTGTCGAATAATTCCCGCATTACGTATGCGCTGGAAATAAACAACTGCTTGCGGCCCTGCGTGAACTTTGGAGTATTTATCATCCATAAAAATTAAATAGATGGCGTCGCGCCGCTCTTCCATCCTGCTATCTGTTAGAGTATTCCCTGTCGCGGAAAACCAACACGATAGATCATGCCAAATGCGAAGAATCGTGACTAAATGGAATCGAAATTGCCCTATTACGATGGCCAGCAGATAAGCGGACCCCTTTAGATGGGCACATTCCCCTAACCAAGAGCCAGCCAGCTGGCTGGGAAGCACCCAATTCCTCGACTGATTGCACGGCAGTGTGCCAATGAGTAAGTGAACGAGTGTGTGTGCTCTGTCAGAGGTTTGGCATTCGAGGCAGCAGGTCTCAATATACTATATATAGCCATAGACATCATTGAACTTCAGGTTGTAAAGCAGTTTGCACTGGTTTCAATTATGTTTGGGGTTTTTCATTAAAATAAGTAAATTTTCCTATATACTCCAATTAATTCAATTCATTATGAGTTTTTAATTTAAAAACTCCTATAAGTGTTATTACAGATAATACTTTCATGGGCTTAACCATTTTTTCGGCATTGACCACCCCGATTTTCTTGAGTCATAAAACAATTCCTACACTGAAAACACATACTAAATAATATGTTGAACGGATAAAATATTTCTTAATATTTAACAATTTCCAATTAAATTGATTTCAAACTGAGTTTTCAATAGACCTATTAGAATTCTCTTCCCACGCTTTTCTTATCTTTAAGCAAGTAAGCACTTGTCTTACATAATAAAAGCTAGTGGAGATTAGCATTGATTAGGAAGTCATCTCCCTGCGGAAGGGCATTCCTGAGCAAGACATACCCAATTTCTTAGCCATAGCAATACAATTGGCACTCGCCGAATTTCTGCTATCTCAACTCGTCACTGATAGCGAACCATATTTGGGGGGCCTCGCGCTCCCGCATTCTGGGCGATAAGAAGCCACCAACCAACCACAACTTGGGGAGGGAGACTCTCTCTGGAGTGCCTTTCCCTATAAATGCAGCCCCTAATCGGCGGCGGCGGGCAAATCTAAAATCGCCAGCAAGCAAGAAACACCTGAGCAATAGAAAGACACGGCAAAACCGGGCCGCATAAAGTGAATTCCATGCCAAAGCGAAACGGAATACAAGTGAAGTGCTATCGATACGCCAGAACAAGGGTGAAAAGCTAAGACAGTCGCGTCCCGTATCCCCAAACGAGTCGCGCCTTCGCAACCAACACCCAAAACCGTCAAAATTACCTACTACTACTCGACGAATTCGTGCGGCGCGTGCAACCAGAGTGAGGACATCATGCTCTTATCCTACCGATGCATCTACTCGGTCCTGCTGTCCACCATAGCCAGCATTATGGTGGTGCTCAGCTCGGCCTCCTCCGGCTCCCTGCAGCTGCCCACCGTGCGCAAGTGCGGCGGCGGCTCCACCGGGGCAGCCCACACCATGGCCATGAATTTGGCGGCCTACGGGCTGCTGGAGAACCGGATTAGCACTCTGGAAGCACCGCGACAAACGCACTGGAGCAAGAAGTTCCTGGCCAAGCGGGAGGCGACTCCCCATTCAGCACCGTACGTGGTCAGCATCCAGATGATGACACCCGACCAGGGCCTGGTCCACTACTGTGCCGGCACCGTCATCAACGAGCACTGGATCCTGACGGCGGCCCACTGCCTCAGTTCACCGCAGGCGGTGGAGAACTCCGTCATTGTGGCAGGCAGCCACGACATCCACGACCAGAAGGGCGAGGCGTCCAACATCCAGATGCGACACATCGACTACTACGTGCGCCACGAGCTCTATCTCGGCGGCGTGAATCCCTACGACATTGCCCTGATCTACACCAAAACGCCGCTGGTCTTCGACTCGTATGTCCAGCCAGCAACGCTGCCGGCGCAGGATGCCCAGCCGGACGGCTATGGCACTCTTTACGGCTGGGGCAATGTGTCCATGACGGCAGTGCCCAACTATCCGCACCGCCTGCAGGAGGCCAATATGCCCATCCTGGACATGGAGCTGTGCGAGCAGATCCTCGCCCGCTCCGGACTGCAACTGCACGAGACCAACCTGTGCACTGGCCCACTGACCGGCGGCGTTAGCATCTGCACCGCTGACTCCGGCGGACCGCTGATCCAGCAGTGCTGCGAGGAGCACTTCGAGCAGGCCAACATCGTCATCGGCATCGTGTCGTGGGGCAAAATGCCCTGCGGCCAGAAGAACGCCCCCTCGGTCTTTGTCCGTGTCTCCGCCTTCACGGAGTGGATCAACCAGGTCATCAGCACGGCCACCCAGATCATGTAAGATGATCATCGGAAAGACAGGACTGTGCAAGATCCACCCCTCGCCCCCCACATGAGCTCGAATGTCAAAATATCGAAAAATTAAATATATAAAAAATAATCACTAAAAATGGAAAACAAAAACCCAAAAAAAAATGTAGATTCTCTAGATAATCTCATTAGGCAAATAAGGATGAACAAGCATACTGCCATGGTTCTTGCACTTTAAGACTTAGTTTAAGCACACAAAAACATGAATAAAATTGTGAACATTTAAATAGAACAAAAACCTGTTGTCTTTTTATTTTTAGCTAATCTTATTAAACAAATAGGAAGAAAAATAAAATAACTATGACCCAATTTGCGATATTTCACATGAAAGAAAAAACAACTATCTTAATTAAGATCCACAAGATCTTTAAATAGGGATTTAATCAAATTGCGCAGGTTTTTTTTTACAAAAGTGCGTACGCACTTTCTTTTCACTTTAGCGCTAGTCTAAGGTAATTGTGAAATAAATTGAGGCCCTAGGACAGATAAGAATTCGCGATATATTCCGATTCTGTTGCTGGGCGGGGAGCAGGTGGAGTTTTGGGGGCAAAAACACAACCAACTGGCGACTTTCCACGCATTAGTCATGCTCCCGAGCAGCGTCTGGTCAAAAAAAATGGGAATTGAGAGCATGTTACGACTGTCAGATAAGGATCTACGGGTAGATTAGCAGAAAGCTCGTAAAGACCGCTTAATTGGGGACATCAGGTGACTACCGGATGATTGACAGCCATTTGAGGGCAGCCTGCGCGAAAATATGGATATGGCACTGTTTACTGCCATCAAAATTGGGTCTAGACATCTGAAAGAACAAGCTCGTTGAACTTTGAGTCCTACTGTTGCACTTTGAGCACCCAAGAACTGAGTAATTGGGGAGCAGCACGGTGTAATTCCGCATTTCCAGGAATTATCAATTATTCAAGTTGACAGATGGCCCAGATAGTTTGGGTGAAGCACCAAAAACACCCATAATGTATGCAAATCTAATTGTCTGGTCAAATCAATTACCTGGTGTTTTCGTTGGTAAACATAATAAAGATAAGTAATAAAACTAATTAATTATATTTTTTTTTAATTTTTAATCCCTGTCTTTTTTCTATTGTAATGCGTCAGCCTTATTTACATTTGGTTGTGTTTATTTCCTGGTTGTAATACAAAAGTTATATTTTTCTCTTATGGAATTTTTGAGTATCAACACATATATATTAAAATCTTAAGAACATAAAACTACCAGTGCAAGCGCCAATAAATTCCTTAGGCTTGAAAGAATCAGCTCCAAATTAGTGGTAATCGAGCCACATGCACGGGTTGCATCCCCCACTAACAGCCAGGACTTATATAACCATTCAATATGTGATCATGTGAGATTACAAATCCATTTATGGATATTAAGAAGCAAACTTAAAACAGAAAATTGCGTCGTACTTGCCCATAAATTAGAAATTCGTTTTCTTTCAATGCCTCGGACATGATTTTCAACGTTTGATAAGATAAATGCCACCACCCCCTTGACCAAATTCGATCAAAGAATAATTGCAAAGTCAGGATGTTGTATGAGGTTAATTTAATGGCGCAGCACGTGTTTTTTACTTGTTGAAATTCTTTCACCTGGTTTATTTGAAATTGCCTTTGAAAACAGAGACAATAGCGGAACCGTACTATCATTTAAAGGGCAACTTTATATTGTATTATAACAAATATCAAAAAATTTAAATAAAATAAAAAGTTGAACATCTAGTGTCCGAAATAGATCACCAAGTCCAAAAATAGATCACCATCTGTTTTTTTATTTTTGCAAGGCAAACTTCGGTTTCGATCATTTTATTTGCATTTACGTTGCCTATATCTAGCAATTAACCTGAGACATGATTTTCAGTGTCGGGGAAATTTTTCGGTTGCATCGCTTTGTTTATAATTTTGTCGGTTGATTTGTTCGCTTCGATTGGACTCCACGCCTGGTCTTGTACATTTACTTGACACCCACTAGGCGTCACAAGTAACGCCGCGAGTCTTGACGTAGTCGATTTGAAATCTTATTTATTACGGGCGTCTTTAGCCGGGTGAAGCACCATCCCAATATGACATGTTCTCATACCTTACGGAAGAATTTATCTAATCGGTTTATGGAAGAGCACGACCAGGGCTAACTCAGGTAATCGATAAGGAGAAACTGCAACTGCAGACCTTCTTTTCCTAATCCGAAGCCTAGAGAAAAGAGGGATATGTGGGTGTTCTTTCAGTTAGCTACTCCAGGTAACCGAAGTTACAATCAAATTTAAGGCGTATACATAAAAAAATTAGCATCTATGTACAGTATACGATTTTACTGATATTTTTGCAACTTTTTCGCACAAAACCTATCCGTTCTTATGAAAATACTGAACCATAATATTTCGAATTTAATTTGATTTGATAAATTTAACTGTTGTGGTTTTTAAAATATAAAGTTACTTTTTTGGAATGTTTTCGTAAGACCCACATATTTGAATTAAAATATTGGTGACAACAGATAAATTTAAGACGGTCAACATAAGAATTATACTTCAGGGTAATTTTTTCTTCAGAACAACAGAAAGGATTATACGTGGATCTCACTTTTTGAATGGATTTTATATAATTATAAGTTTTTACAGGAAAATATTTTAGAAACTAAATAAAAGAGCCCCTGTATTTGCAATGTTACTTTTTTGGAATGTTTTCGTAAGACCCACATATATGAATTAAAATATTGGTGACAACAGATAAATTTAAGACGGTCAACATAAGAATTTTACTTCAGGGTAATTTTTTCTTCAGAACAACAGAAAGGATTATACGTGGATCTCACTTTTTGAATGGATTTTATATAATTATAAGTTTTTACAGGAAAATATTTTAGAAACTAAATAAAAGAGCCCCTGTATTTGCAATGCTATGTTTTGACTTTTAATACATCTGTACATAGGCACTCGTGTATTATTAATCAGCTGCCCCTCCCATCTCGCCCACACGCCTTTGTTAATGCACTCGCACAAGGACGATGACTCCCACTCAATGGACCAGAATTCTCTTTACAATTTGCCAACAAAGAGAGAGGTAAATACGGTATTGAAAAACCAAAATTAGGGCCACAAAATTCGAAATAAATGGGGAATTGAAAAAACCCCAAATCACACTCACCCAAACTGCATTTTTTCGCAACAATAATATAAATACGTAGCATTGCTGACACTCAATGCCAGAGCGAGTGGGTTAAGAGAGGCACTTAAGGGAGAAGCCCCACTGTTAAGAGAACACCCCCCAACTTAAGAGAGAGGCAAAGAGCAGAGAAACTCACCTTCTTGCGAAGTTTCCCCCGAATGTGACACAGGCGTTTGACGCCATCGAAGCACATTGCCTCCAGGCGACCGTTGCCGAGCATCTTGGTCACCTGCGCGTACTCCTGCTGGTCCTCCTTGAAGATCAGTTCGCGCTTCTCGAACTCGTTCTCGTTCTTACCACGACGACGGTTCTTGCCACCTTTTCCTTTATTCTTGGGCATCTCTTTGCTGTTTGCTGCTGCGGCTGCTACTGTTGTTGCTGTCTGCGGAGGTGTTGTTGTAGACGCTGGTTCGGGAACAAAATGAAACCGTTATTCACCGACTGCACTAGGCGGGGATAAATGTTACGGGCAAAACTAGCACGATTGGGTGAATTTAGCCGTTCCAAACTTACAATTTAGTCAATGTAAATGTGACAATTTCGCCTCGCTAAAGTGAAAAGGACTAGTGATGGGCGGTTCCGCGCGGAACCAGTGGTTCTAACGGGCCTTATCGATAACTGCACTGGGTCTGGCAGCATTCTAGCGGAGACACGATCCGCAGGTAGTGGAGACTTACTCCGTAGAAAGCAGAAATGGCATTTTTAATCGTTTTGTGCGCGGTCACACTGGACCTAGAAAAATAAACGTTGGCGGAGGAATAAAGAACCCTTTATTTTGGCCAGGACCAGGATGCACCAGGCCTACAGCGTGCACTCAATCCTCAAGCAGGGCGTCCAGATAGAGTCCATTGCGGCGTATGGTGAGTGGGGTCCTGGAGTTTCGCGCCAGCATTGCTGTTACTCACCGGGCGCGTCATTCCAATTCCAGGCAACCATGTCATTCTGGGCACCCGCAGCGGGCAGCTCATCATGTACTCTGTGGACAAGGAGACCGGCGTGGACATGCGGATGTTCAACAAGAACTTCAGCCGGAAACCGATCACCCAAATGGAGGTGATTGCCGCGGAGAACCTGCTCTTCGTGCTCACTGACTACCAAGTGCAGGTATGCGACATAAGCCGGATCGAAAGCAACTTCGCCTTTATGCACAGTGCCCCAGATACAAAGGGTTGTACGTTGTTCACCATGGACGTTGACTCGCGAAAGTCCACCACCGGCGATGTAACCACCTTCATTCGGGTGTGTTGCGCCATTAAACGTCGCCTGGTGTTCTTCTTTTGGAAAAAGACCATGCTGGATTCCCTTAAGCTTAGCATCGAGCTAAGCGACGTGCCCCGCACGTTGTGCTGGGTGGATCATGCCGTTTGCGTGGGCTACAAAGACGAATATGTGATCTACGATGTAAGAGTGGCTCTCTATTAATGGGTACATTGTGTTTTAATGCCCGCATTTGGTTTTGTAGATATCCAGCACAACTCCCAAGAAGCATGATCTGTTCCTGACTTCCTCCAGTATCAGCAGGGATCCCTGCATCTGCCTCATCCGGAACAACATGCTGGGCATCTCCAAGGACAGTTACCTTGTCGTGGTTGATCCCAGTCGATATAAGGACACCGATGCAAACAACAGTTCTACTGACGTGCGACCGGGTGCCATGGAGAGCAATAGTTCCCTCACTCCGCTGCTATGGTCGAGTCCATTGCTAGATTTGGGTATGAACATCCTACTAGGAAGCCAACTCTGTTTTTTTTAAATTTTCCATTCCTTATAATATACTATCACTTACAGTATGGGATGAGCCATATGCCGTGGGTCGGGTCAACAATGCTATCGAGGTGCGCAGCCTGGTGGGCAAGGACACTCTGGTACAGAGCATTCCCGAACTGCAAAAGACCAAGTTCCTGGTCCATGCCGACAAGGGGATTATCTTTGCTGCCGCCACCTCAGAGCTTTGGTGCATCCGCCTAGTGGAAATTCCTATCCAGCGTCAGCAGTTGCTTCAGCAAAAGAAATTCCAACTGGCCATTGAGCTGACGGTGAGTAGACAGATGCGTCCTGCTAAACGAAGAAATTAACACATTATAATCTAAATTTTAAGCAAATATCCGATGAACCGGCCAAGGACAAAACCCAAACCATTCGCCAGATACACATGCTTTACGCCAAGGAGCTATTTACCAACAAGGAGTTCTCGGCGGCCATGAAGGAGTTCGAGAAGGCAGCCATAGACCCCTACGATGTAATAAGACTGTTTCCGAACTTAGTGCCTGAGGCGAAATCTGGCAGCGGGGATGCCGCCGTGCCCACTTCCAGTGCTCAGGCGCTGGAGGATAGCGACCTGGAGAACGCATACTTGGCACTGATCGAGTACCTGGCCCTGGCCCGCCAGCGGGAGGTGGTCAAGCTCCGCGACACCAAGAGTAGTTCAAAATCCCTGCTGGAGATTATAGATACCACGTTGCTTAAGTGCTACCTTCAGACGAACGACTCGCTGGTGGCGCCGCTCCTCCGACTCAACCAGTGTCACCTGGATGAGTCTGAGAAGACGCTAAAGAAGCACAACAAGATTTCGGAGCTGATCATCCTCTACCAGATGAAGGGCAAACACAAGGATGCCCTTAAATTGCTCCGAGAGCAGGCGAGCATCGAGGGATCGGTGCTGCAGGGTCGAAAGCGAACAATACGCTATTTGCAGGAACTGGGAACTGATCATCTGCCGCTGATCTTCGAGTTCGCTGATTGGGTGCTGAATGAAAATCCTGAGGAGGGGCTGTCCATTTTCACTGACGAACTCATCGAGGTGGAGTCACTGCCGCGAGCCAAAGTCCTTGACTTTCTGATAAGCAAGCACAAGACACTGGTTACTCCCTATTTAGAGCACCTTATTACAGTGTGGAAGGACAGTAACACCCTGCTTCACAATGTGCTTATTAAGCAGTATCGCGAGCAGTATCAGCGACTTCTTGCGCAGCAGGATAAAGGGTGAGATTTATGTTGAGTCAAAAATGTTGATTATAATCGAATGCATTCTAGAGAGCAAGTTCCCGAACTAAGTCCACTTCGCGCCAAGCTCTACAAGATGCTGGATGAGTCTAATGACTACTCACCGGATCGCGTACTAGAGGAATTCCCCACCAACATGCTGCTGGAGGAGCGAGCCCTCATCCTGGGTCGGCTCAAGAAGCACGATAAGGTGCTGTCCATCTATATCCATGTGCTGGGCGATGTTGCCAAGGCAACGGCCTATGCGGAAGCTAACTTCAAAGAAGATGAGAACATATTCCACACTCTCATCAAGTGTATACTGATACCACCCACAGAGCCGCCCTATGAGGGCGTGGCCTTGCATCCAGATTTCGTTCAAGTCAACCGAGAGGTGGCCCTGGAACTGCTTAATGCCCACGCCACAAAAATCGATCCATTCGAGATCTTCGAGGTGATCTTAACATGCACTTCTTATTAATTGTAAAGGCTTAATTCAACCTTTTTCCGGCAGCATCTTCCCGATGACATGCCCATGCCCCAGTTGGAGAAATACTTGGAGAAGTCGATACGCAAGAAGCTGGCCGACAAGCACCAGATGCAGATGATGTGTGGCCTGCTGGAGTCGGAGGCCACGCGTCTGGAGTCAGCGGTGGAAGCGCAGCGGGGCATAAGTTTCGAGCTAAACGAGTTCAGCGTGTGTCCCGAGTGCAGGAAGCGCTTACCCAGCCAGTCTGCATTCGTGCGCTACCCAAACGGGCAGATCGTGCACCTATCCTGTCACGATCGCATAGCCAGGGCGGCAGCTCAGCAATAAAAATATTACTCTTTTGTGATAACTGATCAAAGTATAAATTGTGAATTAAATGTAATTATGTATATCTTTAATTAATTGATGTTACAGAAACAACAATTGAATTCTAAACATGTACTTTTCCGTTCTCATGTTTTTTATATTGGCTTTTATAAATTAAAAGTGACAGCAAGACACGCAGAGGTAAAGAAAACGCATATTGTACTTATTTATTTGGGTATATTTACAGAAAATTTTGCATTGCACTAGTGGGCATTTTAGGCCTCTTCGCTGCCATCCATGAGGCTATCGCCGTCGAGGGAGTCGTTGCAGATGGACAGATCCGATTCGGATTGAGCCCGACTCATCGACGGCATGGCGCCGGAAAGCGACAGCGAGTGTTTACTGTCCTCGTTATCCTCTTCCTGCAGGCTGGGAGAAGCTGCACTGCATCCGGTTGTGAGATCGGTGGACGCAGATTGAACTGCATTGACAGCCACCGACACCTGATTGCCCAGTATCGCCGTGCCCGGCAGCTGAGTCTGTCGTATGATGGCGAGTCGCTGCTGTGTGAGCTCCAGGTGGTGCTTGCGCCACTTGATCCGCCTGTTCTGGAACCACACCTTCACCTGCGCCTCCGTCAGCTTGAGTGTGTGGGCCAGGTAGAGCCGCTCTGGCCCAACCATGTACTGCTGCCTTTCAAACTCCGCCTCCAGGCACTCCAACTGCTCCGGCGTAAAGATTGTCCGGACGCGCTTGTTCTTCAGCGCGCTTTTCTTGTGCGAGTCTGGGGAATAGCAATAGGATTATGAGATTATGGCGCGTAAATGATTCTGATTTCTTAGAAGATTGTATTAAAATAAACTTAAGCTAGGGTCAGATAGACATATTAGTTGAATTAAATTATTTAAAACTTATTTTGAAACGAATTTAATTTTTTATACATTTTGAAATGCAACATGTCTGCTTTAAATATTTTTGTTTTTATTTAAAAGTGTCATTCATATATTTGGTATTTATCATTAAATACAATGTACAAATTTAAGTAATAACTTTGATGGTTTGTATTAAGATTTTCCGAGAACCTAAATTTTTAATTCTCTTTAAAGGGATTGGGATAATTGCCTGCCCTTAAAATAACTTACAAAAATTAAAAAGAAAATTTGTAATGCTGCAATATTAATCCTGTAAAGGCATGTAGAGTTCGATCTTTATCAGATCACTTTGTTTTATTTAATTGTTCGTCTATTTACGGGAATTACAGCTATGAGAATAACACCGAAAAATCTGTTTTGCCATAAGGTATATTTGGTTGTACTTCTACCATAAAAAAAAGTCAAGTATTTCTTACCTAAAAAATCTTAGCATTCAATATGCATTAAACTAAAGTCATACTTCTTACCCGACTTGAGTTTCTCGCGCTGAAAGCTCAGCGTGGCCTGCTGCTGGGCGTGGTGTTGCTGGTGAAGCTGTTGTAGGCTCTGCAGGGCGGAGGGAGCTGCTCCCACGGCGGCGGCCACAGCAGCGAATCCCGACTGGTGAGGATGTGGATGCGGATGACCACCGTGCAGGTAACGTCCACTGCCGCCACCATTATCACAATTAAAGTTGTTTACACTCTGGCTGCTGCTGTTCTGGTTGCTGCTGCTGCTGTTGTTGTTGTTGTTGTTGCTCGTGTAGCACTTGTTGTTGTCGTCGCCGTTGTTGTTGTCGTGCAGGGACAGATTGATGGCATTGTTGTAGTCTTTTCGCTGGCTCTGCAGGCCCAAAATGGCGGCGATGGTAAAGGACTTGCCCACGTCAAGGGAGGAATGCGCCGCTGCCGCCTCGAT